CTGGCTGCCTTCGAACGCACAGAACGCGTTTTGGCTGTTTTTAAACTGTTAAACAGCCGGAACGCGTTTTGTCAATTGTTGAACTCCCACAACGCGTTCTTAATGTTCGACTTAGTAGTTTGAGTATATAATAACTAACTTGACTTCATGAAAAATCAGTACAGTTCTCGTCAGTGTAGCGAGAAGATCAGTTCGTCATTGACTAAACAACTCACTAAAGTCGTTTGAAAAGTTACACTTTCATTAAAATGACCGATAAATCAGCGAAAGAAATTTTTTATGATAAAGCAAAACCAATTATTGATAGTTGTGACGATAGATCTATGTTGCTGTCTGAGGAAAGGTACGAATTGCTTGTACGAGAAGTTGAGCATGCTCAAAATGCGCGCAAAAATNTGTTTCGCCCACTTTGAATGCGAACATTATCAACACGAAATAGTCAATTCAACATTTTGTGATCATTAATACCTCAAAGAATAACAAAGAGACTAACCCCCTATATTCACCACAAACTATTTTAGAAACGGACACGTGTTTCGCCCACTATGAATGCGAACATTATCAACACAAAATATAGTCAGTTAAACATTTTGTGAACATTAAGCGTAAACATGTGTATCACCCACTTTGAATGTCATCAACGCAAGAGATTCAGTTAAAAATTTTGTTTTCCTTAAACTTAAATACCTTGAGTTACAATAAGTCTCACCCCTATTCGTACACTATAAATTTTTATTAAAAAACAACATGTGTTTCGCCCACTTTTAATGTGAATTTTATCAACGTGAGATTGTCTTTCTGTCTTAAAAAAAAGTTTTCGGTATATGGGAATGAATCTCTTTGATATTCTTCAAGGTATTTAAACGTAAGAATAATAAAATTTTTAATTGTCTGTCTCGCTTTGTTAATTTCGACGTTCAAAATGTGAGTGAAACATGTGTCCGATTCTAAAAGAATTTGTAAAAGAAAAGCTACCTTGTTTTTAATTAAATATTATCCAAATATTTTTCTTATACCAACAATTAAAAGGAAATTTTTGAATGAGAATGTAGTCAAATAAAGTCATTACAAAACAATAATAATTACCTACAGACATACCAAAAGTCGTACATACCTTAATGGAATAAAGGTATAAGTAGAAGACACCAAGGAGAACTGCAACAACTTTGATGATGGTTACATTTGAACTGATGCGATAATGTATTACTTCTTGGGTCTGTTTTATTCGCGTAGAAGGGGAAAATCGGAATTTTTCCACTAAAAGCACACAAGTAAAATTTACTACATTCAATTTTTTATTTTATCGGTCAAATAATAGCAAAATTTTCGATAGTAATGGTGTGATGGTGTAATGATGTAATTTACATTTGCTTATTTCGACGCAGAAGTTTTCCATTTTCGCAAACAATATTCAAAATTGAATATTCAAATTCAATCTAACAATTTTTTAATTTGAAGGTACAATTTACCTTTGTTTTATTTGGATATAAAGCAGAGGATAGGGCAGGGTCGAGTTGCCATCAATAAAAAGAAGTCACTCCTATGCTCACGAACGATTAATTTAGAAATTCGAAAAAGATTGTTAAATGTGTATGTTTGGAGCGCGGTGCTGTACGGGTGCGAAACATGGACGGTGGGCGCGGCGGAAAAGAAAAGGTTAGAAGCGTTCGAAATGTGGTGTTATAGGCGGATGATGAGGATATCGTGGGTAGAAAAGGTTAGAAATGAAGAGATATTGGAAATAATAGGAGAACAGACGACTCTATGGAAGTCAATAAGAAATAGGCGAGATAGGTTGGTAGGACACCTTCTCAG